GAGTTTTTTTGCTTTTTCGGTTTCCCGGTTCCATCAGCACTATCGCCTTCGGCACTTTGAATCTTTTTCTTTTGCATTGGCTTTTTTCTTTGACGTATGGGTGAGCTTTGCTGCAGCTTCGACGCATTTTCTGGCTGTGGCTCAGCCGATTGTGGTGGGGACGGTAACGCTATAGCCGATGCTTGTAACGTATCTTCACTGGTATTTGTCAATGGTGGCAGAGATGCAAGTGGCGTATCCTCGTCATCGATACTTAATAGCTCTTTTTTGATAACTATGCCATTGCTGCGCGCATGTGTGCGTACATTGTTTGTATCTTTTTGCATTTCCTCCATAAACTCTATCATAGACAAACCCTCCAATGTTCCTGCATTGGGATTCTTTTGTTGGTATTCGCGTTTTGCAGTATTTTTCATACTCCGCCATTGCACTTGGATTTGTTCAAGTGAACGATGCCGAAAGTTGAGTACGTTGAATCTGAAAATTTTCGGATTTATTTAATTACNGAACGATGCCGAAAGTTGAGTACGTTGAATCTGAAAATTTTCGGATTTATTTAATACAATACATTATTTTATACAAGGCAAATCATTTGTTTGTAAAAATTACTGTTTGGTGATTTGCATCCAAGCTAGACGTTTCGCTTTGATGTTTTTTGCATCCACATTACGGTTTTCGACATACTCAACCTTTGGCTTTATAACTTCCACCAATAGGCCCTGCAATAAAAAAGGCAGTTTTTTAATATGTGAACATTTTTATTATTCACGTTGCATGCATTTTTTTCACTGAGTCGATATACATATACTCACCCGTTCCGCCTCCTCCCAGTTGGTAGATCGCTTTTTTCTTGTGCCTTTTTTCTTACTGTTACCACCAACATCTTTATCGCCACCCCCACCATCATTTTCTTGTTCTTTTTGCTCCTGGGATGCTTTTGAAGACTGTGGGTGTGTTTCTTCTTCCACCCCCTCTGCGACAATTGGAATTTCTTTTTCAGCCCCAGGCGGTACCTTCACTGCCAGCGCCACCGAATTCCCATTCATTGTTTCTAGCTTCATTTTGCCACGACTTCGCTTCTTTCGCACTACTTCCAGGTTTCCTTCAATCTTACTTAATTTTTGGGCACAATTTTATAATTTTCTCTGAAGATTTTCTTGTTAGATGTTTTGTTTATACTCCTATTTTACGAAAGTTGAATTAAATTGTCCAATTGGAAATAAGTAATGCCAAGGCACCGAGTTTGGCAGCACTTCGATGCAGGGTTACATTAAAAAATGTTATTTTAAAGTTAGGGCGTGTGTGAATCGGTAGCAAAGTTCTATGTTACCGATTCTTACTTAATTTTTGGGCACAATTTTATAATTTTCTCTGAAGATTTTCTTGTTAGATGTTTTGTTTATACTCCTATTTTACGAAAGTTGAATTAAATTGTCCAATTGGAAATAAGTAATGCCAAGGCACCGAGTTTGGCAGCACTTCGATGCAGGGTTACATTAAAAAATGTAATTTTAAAGTTAGGGCGTGTGTGAATCGGTAGCAAAGTTCTTTGTTAATGGGACCGTCCCCACGGCATTCGATCACCGAAAAACAGCATTAAGCAGGATAATTATTAAGTTTTTACTATTTCAATCACTAGTTTAACGTTTGTTCGTGAGCAAGTTCAGAATACGTACATTTCCAAAAAAAAAATAGTGTGCTTTNTGGCAGCACTTCGATGCAGGGTTACATTAAAAAATGTTATTTTAAAGTTAATGGGACCGTCCCCACGGCATTCGATCACCGAAAAACAGCATTAAGCAGGATAATTATTAAGTTTTTATTATTTCAATCACTAGTTTAACGTTTGTTCGTGGGCAAGTTCAGAATACGTACATTTCCAAAAAAAAAAATAGTGGGCTTTCCCTGCAAAAATCGTTGGACCATGTAGTCTATTTGTGGTATAT